GTCTTCGAAAACTGCTATACAAACATAAGAGTAAAATGAAATCTTACTTATACCCAGAAGCTTCTTCGTTTCAAGCTTTTCGAGAGGAGGTGAGATGGCCAGGTGATATTATTTTGCCAAAAAAAAAATCACCCTTTAACAAAGCTTCTAGCGGTCTCGTCCGACGACGCTTGCTTAAGAACCGAGCAGAGAAATGGGCATCTAAAATCCTAATCACAGTTACTATTTCACCATCGGAACAAATCAACTAATCGCATTCCAGCTTTTTTTTTTTTGTTTAAACGGACTGAAGTTAACAGCTCGAACTACTCAGATTTACAAACCAAGTCAGCTATCACTGAAACTATTAAACACCGAATTTGAAGCAAAAGCCAAATATTACCGGGCACAATGCGTTCTCTGAAATCGCTTTCCGTCAATACATTGTCCAGCTGATCGCTCAGCAGCTGCTCATTCAGAACTTTGACAAATGAAGGCGATATTATTTGACGCTGTAGATTCAGCATCAGTCGAGGAGAACGGCCACCTTCTGTGTCTGTTCCACTCTCAACTCCTTCATCTGAAAATCGAACAACTTTGAGTTCCAGATACTCCAGCTTGTTTATTTTCAAGACACACAAGGTCAAGGTCAAAAAAGAAGCAAAGATTCCACTACATGTAACTGATTTACTGCATTTCGATTTTTGACCTAATACAAACATAAATTACTTCTTTTTCGCGTCATTTTGTTTTCTCGAATGTTCGCTTAAACTCAATTGTGAAACCTTTTTGATTCCGATAAGTACGGAGGATGACCTTTTCAATTTCTAACCAACCACTCAGTATTTATGTACAACCTGCTTGATGAGTAAACATATCATATCGTATCGTAAAACAAGAAAAAATGGAAAATCCTAAGTTATGCAGTTATCGACGAATCAATCCTTTTTTTCGAGGGCTAATGAATCAAAAACTTTTTCCAGCACCCAAGTGTAAAGGCGCAAGGGCACATACACATAGGCAAACACATACTTGCGGACAAAAAACAACTATTTTTGGATAGTAAGTAACAAATTCATAAAATTCTCACGTGATCTTCCTGAAAAAAAAAAAACGGGGAACCCAAATGAAACGAAAATAATTCATTACCTTGCACGTACTCTTCGTTCTCAGCATTTTCTTTCGCATACTGTCTCAGTTTTTTCATTGCTTCCGCAGCGTTTTTGTCAGTTTCCAGTCCATGTGTTGAAACTAACTGATGATACAAACGATACAGAAAATCAGCAACAGCAATCATTAAATCCTGGAAGTATTTTCCCTTTTACATGCGTGTATTCAAGGGCTGCACAGAAAAGCAATTCAGAAACTAAGTGAGAGCTCAAAAACGATCCAAGCTAGAAGTCCAGCATTGAAGTAGCAATAAAAAAACCTGTGCAGAGGCCAGTTTTGCTTGATTTTCACCAGCGATCATGATTGCTGTCCGCAAATCCGTCTTAACAAGATCATACTGTTTGCCGCCAATTCCGGCTTTTGATGTACTTTCGATCAGTTGCTCAATCTTTTTTAGAGCATCGTCGCTCAACTGTTTCAACTGAGTATGATCCAACTCTGAAATCTTCACGACTTTCAGAATTTATCAGTTCACCTTAATCTTCTTAGACAACGAGAGCCGCAGCAAATTAGTAATAATTATAGCATTTAATAAACTCATTGTTTCAGAATTCATAATCTTCTTCGAAGCAATTTTACTATTAGCTTAGCCGTACATTCTCAAATCATCAACGTAAAAAGCTCGGCTAAATGTAATAGATTTTCATATATTAATGAAAATAATGCTACAGTGACTTACACAAAAAATCTCCTCTCTCCTCTCCCTTCTATTACGTCGCGATTAAGAAAATGCCATTTTTTGCAATCGGTTAAATCATCCTATATTTTTATACCTTACAGATTCTCAAAAAAAAAAAATTCAGAAAAGGGGACGGGGGACGGGGGGAGGGGATGGGGAAGTGGGAAAGAAGTGCCTCGTTCAAAAAATTTTTCCGTATAATTTAACTTTATATAATCCAAGACTTGTTTTAACGCTCCTCCCGCTCACCTGTCACTAATAATCCCCCGGTACTGCAGATACAAAGCTTATGAGTTTACGAACGTACCTGGTGTGCTCATCACTTCAAGCTTCTTTAGGACGGGTATTACATAACTGATGTCTTTCTCAGTTTCCTTTAACTTTAGTGCAAGTTTGTCGTTTTTGGTTTCCAGCTCGGCCAGGCGCTCCGGCATATCACCGTGTATTTCCGAGAACAAATCCACACCTTTCGATGGCCTTCCTTTACCGAAATCATTTGATTCCGCAATAAATGATGATTCCAACTAAAATAAAAACAAGAATTAAACTGCACTGCGAACCACATACTTGGACTGTGTTCAAACATGAATTCATTCCTTTATAATTCCCCAAAAGATCGTGTTCCAACATGAAGCTCTGTAGATGCTTTGCGATTTCACTGTCCAATGCATCGGAATGCACAATATATCTCAGCAAAAAGCTAATAAAAAATTTTCGACTTTCCTTTTTACCTCTTTCCTCCCTTCCTCCGCCTCTTTAGGCTGTACTGAAACTCAAACAAAATCATTATGTTTTCGCGTAGTCGACTTCAGCTCATTTACATTACACCAAGATGGCTGCTGAAAACGACTTCTGAGTATTTCTGCTGATTCAATGGAAATATTTCACATTCTTTTAGAAAGGGAGGCAACAGCAGAGCCCAGATTGTCCTTTCACAGTATCATACCACTACTGCACATCTAGTAAATTTTAACAATATAAAGCCAAAAAAAAGGTGACAGAACCTCTTTCAGAGCTTGTGAATCATCCTCGTTATTGCTCTGCAGTCCGAAGAGCATTGTGTTGAGTTGCTGCAGATGCTCCGCATTGCGCATCAACTCGAGCTCCTTTTTGTAAGCGAGCTTCTGGTCGCGTTCTTGCTGCATATTCAAAAGAGCATCTTCTAGCTGCAATCAACAATAAATTACACTTTTATTAGGGTAGTTTGCAAACAACACCGGTCTCGCCATCATAAGATGAAGGTCTAGTGAATGTTACATCAAAAAGGAATCCAAATTCCAAAGACACCGATTCCAAAGACACAAATTCCAATTCCTGGAAGTTCCAAAGACACCGAGAAGACAACACACCACATCCTCACAGGCAAAGGACCGTGGACAAATCATTGTTAGACTAACATGCCAGCAGTGAATTTCATGGAAAATAAAAATCAAAAAAAAAAAAATAAAGGGAACGGGGCTGACGTGTTTTTGGGCCACAATAGTCAATTTATTCGCTTCTTCCCTGTCCGCTTGCAGCTGATCATTCTCGTCCATCAAACGCTTCACTTCCATTTTCACAGCTTCAAATTCCACTTGTGCACTACGTAAATTTGAAACCTGTAACACAGGTCACTGTAATGTCATAAGGGCAACGTAAAAAAACGGCTACTCCTCGAATCCCTCTTTCCCGGCGATGCCTAAAAAGGACCGTGTGCAAACTAAAGACGCTTCTAAATGATCAAATTATTTCTGGCAAATACAAAAATTCCCGTTTTTCTTTTGCCAGATAGGTCTGCAAGATTTCCCAGCTTTCATTCTTCACTCCCCAAGCAGTCTATCTTTGCAGCGGTCAACCTGAACAGGAAAAGAGCAAGGCAGTGCTGTACACTACCAACATCCGCTTCTAGGTATCGAACATTACACATTAGGAGCTGCATATAACAGATATTATATTACAATAAACGCATTCGAGAAAACTGGAAAGCAAGCCTGTTTTTGGAGGCCGATATTCTCCTCTTCCAGCTCCGAATAATCACTGAGTAATCTCTGCTCTCGATTCTTTGCCTCTTTCAAATCATCTCTCAGCTGCCGTTTTTGAGTGTCCGACTCCGACGCTGCTTCAGAAGCATTCGTATGTAACGTTTGCAACCTTTCCAAGTCAGTGCGATACCTGTCCACTTCCTGAACAAATTTCCATTTCCTGAACAAATTCATAGTTTTTTTTT